AGGTTGGTCGTACATTGGTAAAAAGATATTGGAAAGAGAATGATTCCAGCAAAGGTAAGGCCCCAACCTTCAACCAGATGAATAAGAGTTACATAAAGATAGCAACAGTAAGAAAATGGCCAGAAGTTGAAGCAAAGATTTTATGAAGTATAAAGCTTTATAAATGAAAGTTTATTGGTGGAAAATATTAGCTGAAAGAGAGAAATAGTATTTGCGCAGATGCTATATCACATCTTAAATCCCTGATTCACAGTGATCCAAAGATGGACTCAACTGGGAAGTTCCAGCAGGAACTAAGGTAACAAATAGGAACAGGTATTTCCCGTTCGAGTTTCATTCTAGCTGAAGCAGAAGAAATAAAAGTCTGAAACGATATTGAAAGTATTGAAACTTTTGCTAGACCGGTGCTCACTGATAATTGCATGTGATTGTAAGAAACTCAGCCCTGCCATGTATGGTTTAACTATCAGGTCTTCCTCTCCATTTATGGTCGAATCCATTCAAGACCATAAGAGACATTTGTGGAGGCTTCCCAGAACTAGATGAACACACACACACACACACATATATAGCCAAGAGCCACCCATCTGAGCCAGCAAATCCAAATTCTGCTATGCCGGTGCACAAAGCAAGCACGCAACGACTGCGTAAAAATTGGTATGCCTATCATTGTCCTTCAAGATTCAATCTTCCCCCTTCCGGTCCCAAGGAATCACTCTTATAGTAGGAGGTTTACTATGTCCCCAACTTCTCTTTATTAAAAAAATGGAATCGAAAAAGTTTGATCAATTCCAAGGAAATTTTTGAATTAGAAACTTGCTCGAATTGGATATATATATATATATATATATATGTGAAAATCTTCTCGTCAGAGTTTTTTCACAAAGACTTGGTAAGATAACAAAAGAAAGAGGGACAAGTACAGTTGGAGAAGCGAAGTACAGCTGGGAGTTGTATGTTGTGTTGAAAAAAATGAACTGCTCCCAATCTCCTAATCGGTTGGACTTGAGTCCAGAATGACAACAATGCATCAAGGAAATGAATAGAAGAAGCATCTAACAAGAGCGAAACAATCCACACATTGATATTTGATCTACTAAAGAGGGATTTAGAACTAAGAAATAGACCCTGGAAGCTGGAAAGTATTGTATTTCATTGGCACCCTGAACATTTATTTTGTATTTTGTTGCATCAAGTGAGATGTGGAACACGCTTTTAACTTGAACTGGGAGACGCGTGCAATGCCTAAATTTATGAGTTTTATTCGAGTTGAAAAGGTAGGAAGCCACAAAGACCCATTAGGATACAATTCCAGCTGAAATTTTAAAAGAGTATTATGAGTAGAACACTTTGAATCAGAAAAGTTTAATCAAGTATAAGAAATTTCTAAATAGGAAACTTGCTGGAATTGGATACTTTCGATTTACCAGAGGCCTTAACAGTTCCTGGACCTTACATGGTAAAAGCTAAGCAAAAGATACTACAGAACACATATAGCAAGGACCTCAACGATCAAGAGGAAGAGGGATAAAGGAAACATACCAGCATCAACATCGTCCATAACTTCTTTAATAGGCCTTTGACCAACCCCGCTATACAACTTCCCATCACTTGAGAGAACGACATAAACCTTCTCTGCCTTTTTAGCCCATTGCATATCCGTGATGACACTTGAATCCTTGACAGAATGAGAAAAGGCTGGTGTTTGGTCCTATTAATAAGCAATACGAACAAGAATGAAGGACATCAATTTTTCAAAATTTCAGTACTCATAAATTGATAGCAAGGCACAAAATTGGTTTTCTGCAGCAAAAGCTCAAAGTGCAATGCCTTTTTAACTGAAAACGAGAAAGTGTCCAAACTTCGCAGGGAAGAAGTAGTTCTTAGAATGCACTCAGGGGCACATGCAATATGTAACTTATGGGTTCACCCAAATCCAAAAGCTTTGGCTCTGACCGTGTATATGTATTTAAAAGTCTGCTAAATAAGTAGAAATTATATTTCGAACCCAGTAAATTAACTGGGCCTGTGGTAGAATCCCAAACTCAAACCCATAATGTCAAATCCATATACCCAGTGGCATTTAGCTAGGGATGTTATATATGATTAGACAAGGCCAACATAATGAAGCTACAGAAAGTTTTGATGTTACAAACCTATGTATTCCTAGGAAAGTTGTAGCATCGGAAAAAATCAAAATACCTTGTAAAGAAGGGCGCTAACAGGGAAGAAATGGATTTTATTGCCAACACAAGCAGCAAGCAAGGAGTCATCTCCAGACAACGCAAGTACCGAAACTTTCCCAATAGTAACATCCACAACGCTCAATTCCTGTATAGATGGACCACTACCTTTCTCCTTAATCTCCTGTGCTGATGCCATAACCTCCTTTGTCCTCGCAACACAAAACCCTAAATCAAACCAAAGAAAAAATACAACAAAAAGTGTAAATTAAGATATAAAAGGCACCACGTAACTCGAATAAACTAGGCGATTTCTTCTCATCTCTGTAAGAGAGGCGGATGTAGAGTACATTGTATGGGTTCATCCGAACCCAATAGTTTTGGCTCAAAGACGGTATATGTATTAAAAATTTCACTACACAAGTACAAATAATTGAATACAAACCCAATAAATTTATGAGTTGTGGTATAATCTCAAACTAGAACCCATAAAATTCATATCATGAATCTGCCTCTGTTATAGTACACTTAGATAACTCAAAACAATCAGGTAGTTGATATCTTCTCATCTCTTTAAATGCAGAGTTCAACTTATGGGTTCATTGGAACCGAGTAGCTTTGGTTCGAACTCTGTATATGTGTTAAAAATTCACTAAATAAGTAAAAATAATTGATTTCAAACTCATAAAGTTCTAAAATTCACCTCTCTGTAAGTACACTAGATATAACTCAATAAAAAAACTAAGTGATAATAACTCAAATAAAATGCACTAGAGACTGACCATCAGAGTGGGCAATGAAGAGAAGGCGAAAGCGTTCGGAGACAACTAAAGGTTGCAACGGCGGAGATTGGTTTTCGAGATCGAAGGATGAAGACTCGTCGGGCTTTAGAGGGACGGGTGTTCCGATTTTGGAGAAACGATAATTTTTGGAGCCAATTTGGTCTCCTTCAATCTCTTCCTCCAATTCGATGGAAGTAGACATTGGAGATTTGCCGCGGTGAATTCAGAAGACGCTGGAACAATCTGTATAGCTCTGGTTTGAGTGTGTTGAGAAACTGTTCTTGGGCGGGAAGGATCGAAGGTTTGCCCTAAATATACAACTTGGTGTGCTTGAGTAGCGTAAAGATTAAGACTGAAAATGAGGTTTAGCAAACAGTAAATTAAACCGACATTAATTCAAACAAGTCTAGGGGGCAAAGTCATTTTGGTAAATCAATCAATGATCATAAATATAGAACAATGTTTATTGGTTTTGATTTTTGACGATTTTTTATTTTGTTTTTTCATGATTTTTAACCAAACAAATATATTTCAAAGGAAAATAAAAGAATAAAATAAAAACTACTTATATTAAGAGCATGTTTGGCCTAGCTTTTGGGAGACCAAATCGTATTATTTTTTTTAATGAGAAAAAGGTACTTTTTCATAAATTTGAGTTGTTTGACCAAGATGAATAAGTATTTTTGAACCGCAGTAGAAGTAGTTTTCTGTTTTTGAAAGAAGCTACAAATTCTAGCTTATTCTGATAAGCAGAAATAAAAAGTTAATTCTTTCAAGGCAAAAATATCCTTACCATAAGTTTATATATTTCAAATTATCTCACGTCAATTTAACATTTTTCTTTTTCTTTGCTTTTTCTACCATCCTTTTCTTCTTCATTTTTATTCTGTTTCTTCTATTTCTCTTTGAAATAGTCTCTCCACAACAAATAGATCTCTTCTTTTTTTCTTCGTCTCATATTTCTCTATGAAATAACAAGGCACAAAAACTCTCTTCACGAGGTATATACCAATATTATATGATCTCCAGTTTATAGTTTTATTTTTATTTCTTTTTTAACGTACATTTTTTCCCTTATTCTTGCATGAGTTTCTCTCTCCACGCTCCCTCCCCATCTTTCTCTCTCCACGCTCCCTCCCTCCCCCAACCAGCTCTAACGGTCACTTATACGACCGGCGACCACCAGAGACGCCGGCGAC